GAGAACAAACATGTCTGTCCTGGAGAGGGTGAAATCAGGCTACTCCTTAGAGGCAAGGATTTTGAAACCCATTTGACATACTTTGGGCATGCTGTCAAGAGGGACCAGTCCTTGGCTAGGGATATCATCCTTGGACAGGTGGAGGGATAGCGTAAGAGGAAGATTCTGGTTGAGATGGAATGACTGAGGTAATAGGAGTAGGTGTGTTAGAGACAATGAAATTGGCTCAAGATAGATCAGGGTTCAGAGCTGTAGTTCACAGGGTCTCTATGAGTCCAAGGTGACTCAACAGCATATAACAACAACAACAACAACAACTTTACACCCTGAATGGATTCTGCATCCTTTTTTTAAAAACATATCTTTTTTTATTAATTTAAATGAAAGTTTACAGAGACTTAGGGTTTCCAGTCATTCATTGTTGCACTTTTCTCCCTGCCCACTGCCACCCACCCCCCCAAATCACTCTTCTCCTTGAAAAGAAAAACTCTTTGTTATCTGCATCCTTTCTTCTTTTGAGAAAGATAGTATTGATATAGTGGCCTCTGGCAGGTCTCTATTCAAGTATGAGCTTTTTGGTAAGACTTTCCCTTACCTCCCTATTTAAAAGTGATGCTTCCAGTCCGACAGCAATTTTAGCTCTCACTCCCCAGCCTCCTTTCTACTTTATTTTTTCAATCACATGTATACTGAATATATTTATCTCCTGTGTCCACCTAGTAGAATACAAGGTGTGCTGGAATAGAAACGTCTACCCCACTTGTTCACTGTTGTGTCATGAGAACAGCTCCAGGCACGTGGCAAGCCTTGAGTATTTGCTGAATGAATTTATGCAGGAGTGAGTCTGGTTTAGACTGTCGAGACAGCACCACGTCAGCCTCTCTTCTACCTGAAGACCCCTGTCACTCATTCCTCATCCTGTTTTGTTTACAACTGTGTTCATTAAAGCTGCATCCCTCCTTGGAATGCTGTGCCTTTGAGGAAGAGGTGTTTCCATGGAGATACAGGAATTTTCACCTAGTTAGAAAGCTCTCTATTTTTGGAGTTAAGATTCCAACACATGTAACTTTCCATTTCTATCCTGAAGTGCATTCTATATCAGTATGTACAGCCAAATTGATTTACTAGGCTCTTTTCATAAACTGTGTAGGCAAGTTTTTTAAAGCAGCACCTTTTTTATTACCCATTTAGCTCTAGCGGGCTGTGGTGGCCTAGTGGCAAGAAGCTGCACTGTAATCCTGAAGGCACAAGGTTCAAGGTCACCAGTTGCCCCTTCAGAGAGCAAGATGGACAATCTCCTGCTGAGGGATTAACTGCCTCTGAAAATCCACTGGAGGGTCAGCTATGGGTTGGTTCCGACTCAATGTACACAACAACAAAGGAGCCCTGGTAGCCTAGTGGGTAAGGAATTGCACTTCCCACTCAAAGGTAGGTGGATGGAATCTTCTGGCTGTTCCACAAAGATCAGCAATCCTCTCCCATGTGTTTTATTTGCAGCCTGTACTTTTTTTTTTTTCTCATTCCTTTGGTTCTCTCAGAGTTATTAATTACTACAATTGTAATTGTTTTAACCTCCTCCCCTTTCCTTTTGGGTTGTTGCAGGTTTGTGGCCATAAGAATATACATTTTGTGAGGGCAGCACTTTGGTCTTTCTCCTCCCCCTCCCCCATTTCCCTTGTATTTGCACAGTGCTTGTTAAGGTCTCAGCAAATGGGTTAATCTTTAGGCTTGGTATCTTACTTTCGAAAGTATAAAGTAAAAGACATGAGTAAAAATGTTCATAGAGAAGTCTTTTGTAGTACTTTCTAATTGGGAACCACCCAAAGGCCTGTAAGAGGATGAATTTGTTGTTGTTGTTAAGTGCCGTCGAGTCACTGGCGACTCATAGCAACCCTATGAAGGAGAGTCCTTAACGCTTGGGTGTCTCTCATCCTCCCTCCAGGTTCATAGGGTTTCCAGAGGCAAGCTATTACGGAAGTGGATGCCACTCCTGCTTCCAAGCTTGTTTTAATCAGGGAGCTCCACCCCACTCTCTGTCCACATTGGGTAATCAGCTATTAACACATTTGACACAACAGTGTCAAAGTGTTCAGCCTCATAGCAACCACATGTGACCGCTGTATGGCAACTTGTACACCAGGGCTATACGACCTAGAGGAATGAAGAGGATGAATAGAGTATATTAATGTACAGCAAGAACCATAATAAACTACTAAAGAGATATCTGAAAGAGAGCGATAACAAGGCTTCATCTCACATACTTGGGACATATTATCAAAAGGAACCAGACTCTGGAGGAAAAAAAGAAAATCTTGCTTGGTAAAGTAGGAGTCAAGAAATTTAAGATCTATTGCATTGGATAAATTGGCTGTCAAAGACCTCTCTCTAAGGTGTTAAGGAGCAAAGATGTCAATTTAAAGATCAAGGTGCATCTGGTGCATGTCATGGTTTTTTCAATTATTTGTTACGCATCTTAAAGGCGGACAATGACTAAGGATGACAGAAGAATTGATGCCTTTGTGTCAGAGACTACTGAATATCCTACAGACTGCCAAGAGAGCTAACAAATCTCTCTGGGAACAAGTATAACCAGGCTGCTCCTCAGAGGCAAGGATGGTGAAGCTTCATCGCACGTGTTTTGAGCATGTTTTTAGGAGAGGACAGTTCTTGGAGGGCATCATGCTTAGAAAGGTGGATGGTGCAACAATGAATGAATGGAAATCCAAAACCTCTGTAAATTTTCATTAAAATTAATAATAACGATAATAATAAAAGCTTTTAAAAAAATCAAGTGTCAAAAACCATTAAAAAAAAAGGTGGATGGTCAGCGAAAGAAAGGAAGACCCTCTAAGATATGCAGTGACTTCAGCAACAGACTAAAATCAGAGATGATGCAGATGGCACAGGATAGGGCAAGGTTCAGATCCAATGTTCACGGGGTAGCTGAGCTGACTTGATGGCCCCTGACAATGAAAAGTGGAGGGTCAGCAAAAAAAGAGGAAGACCTTCAGTGAGACGGCTAACACAGCAGCAGCATTGACTGGGAGCATTTACATGGGATTACTATAGGCATCCTCTATTTGTTCCTTTGGCCATCCAGGGAATATACAGTCCCCTTCTCCAACAGCTCAAAGGCATCAATTCTTGTCATCCTTATTGATTGTGCAGCTCTCATATGCACAGCAAGTGACAGAAAAGACTGTAGCCTGAATCACGCATAATCCAAACTGACATCATTGATCCTCAGTAATTTCGAGAGACCCCTAACTGCAGACTTTCCCAGTGCAATATCTTTCCTGATCAAACAGGTATGTCTTGCAGAAGGTGCAGCCAGAGGGCTCCTTGGAGGCAAAGATGATAAAGTTTGGGGATGTGAAGGAAAGAGAAGGTGCTCAACCAGATGGACTGACATAGTGACTGCAGCAGTGGGTTCAAGTGTATCAGAGATTGTGAGGATGGCACCGGACAGCACAGGGGTCAAATCTGCTGTTCAGAGGGTAACCATGAGACACTCAACTGCACCTACCAACTACGGTCGTTCTTCTTTTTACATAGAATTACTATGAGTTGGAAGTGGCTCACTGAAGTCTAACAATATTATCATTCTTTAACTAAAATACATCAAAGATCATGAAGAAGTGAAAGAACTGGGCAGTGTTCTTATGCAAGAACTTGTTTGTTGTTATGTGCCATCCAGTCACTTGCGACTCAGCGCCCCTATGTACAACAGCCCTAAACTCTGCTCTATCCTGTGCCAATCGCATTGTCTCCAATACACCCATGCTGATTACCCCAGTCACTGAATCAATCCACCTCAGAGGGCCTTCACCTCCTGCATGTCCCTCCCCAAGGACGGTCCCTCCTTACAATATGCAAGAACGATGTTCTGATTATTTAAGAGAGTGTCCTTATTTTTAGGAAGTATGCATTATAGTGTTTAGAGATAAAGGGTCATAACATTTGCAATTAACTCTCAAGTGGAAAAAAATTATAAAAGCAAATACAGTAACATTAACAGTTGGAAAACTTAAGAAGTTATGATAATTTTTACTAGTTTTGTAGCCTGAATTATTTAAAAAGACTAAACTATTGGTAAAGAATTGAGAATGTCGTTATGTGCTGTGCCAATCTGTCTCTGACACACCTGCCCCCATTACCCCAGTCACTGTGTCAATCCACTTCATTCATGGTCTTCCTCTCCTGTACTGTCCCCTCCACTCTTCCAAGCTTGATGTCCTTCTCCAAGGACCAGTCTCTCTTGGCCCTGTGCCCAAAATATGTGAGATGGAGCTTCAAAATCATTGCCTCCAAGGAGCAGTTTGGTTTCACCCTCTCCAAGACAGATGTTCGTTTTCTTGACAGTCCATCATATGTTCAGTACTCCAGCACCACAACTCAAAGGCATCGATTCTTCCATTATCCTTAGCTACTCTCCAGTTCTCTGATGCATAGCAAGTAATTACAAAGACCATGGCCTGAATCGGCCTCTAGACTGACATCATGATGATCTTTAGCATTTTGGAGAGGTCCCTGACAGCATAGAGAGAAGACAAAAACGTGTTATTAAGTTACTAGCAACACACGCTGGTGGCCTAGTGGTAAAGAGTTGCTCTAAACTCCCTAAGGCATTCAGTTCAAATCTACCAGCTGCTCCTCTGGAGAAAGATGAAACACCCTCTCCCTGTGCGATTTACTGCCTCTGAAAACCCGCTGGAAGGTCGACTACGGGTAGATTCCAACTAGACGGCACAGAACGAGAAAGAATACAAGGATTTAGACAAAACTCGGGAGCGTAAAAGGAAAGATGGAAGAATGCTAGAGCGGAATACAAGCAGGATAAGAACAGAGTGGACAATATAAATCAACAGCTTCTGTGAGCATCAGCTTCATCCCAGAGTCCAAATAAGCGCCCAAGTACTGCCCACCCCAATCATAGAGGAAGCTTTCACTGCACCCGCAGGCGAACGACCCATCGGGTCACGCCAAGCTTGGCTGTGCGCATGCGTACGCTCATTCGCTCGCTCGCTCGCCGGCCAATCACTGTCTACGTCGCCGGCTGGGTGCCCGGAAGGGGCGGGGCTTGTTGTTACACATGCGCAGTTTCGGTCGGGCCTTCTTCCTTCTCGCCTAACGCCGCCAAGATGGTGAGTATCGCTGCTGCGGGCTCTGGGCCCGATCCTTATTCTGCTAGAGCCCCGTCCAGGCCCGGGGTTCCGAGGTTCCAGATGGCGTCCGAAGAGTTCCGGGAAGCTC